CGGTGAAGAAAGAAGAATAAGAGGGGCCATACGTAGGGGTTAAGTGCACTCTTTTGTATTAGTTAGTAACAAATTTTTGACCAATAAACTGCAATCGTTTAGAATTATATTGTTTATGTTATCACTATTGTCGAAAGAAGTATTTTTTGTTGTATGGAAAAAAATAAAATTCAAGTGAATGGTTGAATCAAAATCCTGGGGATTTTATAGATTAAAGTATTTTTGATAGGGTTAGTAAATCAGAATGGAAATTTTAAATTTGTCAAATTTTGGAATCGCCGGTTTTGGGTGGAAATAATGCAGTGAAAATGAATTCGGAAATCTCGAGAATTGGGATAGAATTATTCTGAGGCCTTTCGTCAAATTACCGCGTCGGTCGTCTGCTGGTCAATTTTTAATTTTGTCGAGGTAGATTTTCTGTGATGTAAAAAAACTCCTTTTCAATGAAATATGATTACCTCAAAATTTAGTACGTATAGGATTACATGTTCAGGGTAACGTCAAGTGCCGGAAGGAAGTTTTCAATTTTCTGGGGCTTCCGCAAATAATTTTAAAGTCTCGTGGACTATTACAGTCAATTTTCCGTTATTAATGGCTCAATTTCAAATGAGCTTTTCATACATGATGATGTGTCTATTTACCCCTTAATTTTCCTCGCGTTTGGATTCGATGAAAACCAAAATTACAAGAATTCTTCATGAATGTATATCTGAAATTGGAACCGGATGTCTGGATTCGAGCTGGTGCCAACTCGGGATGCAAAATTATAAATGACGAATAGTAGATCTCATATCGAGCATCCTAAGCAGACAGAATTGCTTTTATCTCTAGCTAAAATCCTCTGATAGCAGTTTCAGACAATTTTATGTCACTTGGGCTTAATTATTTGATACTTTTTTGAAAGTTAAAAAATTTGCGCAAAGAAATAGAACGAATACTTAAAAAAAAAAATATTAAGTTCAGATGATTCTGAGGAATTTTGATTGCCATCACGCACCTTAATATTATTATTAATAATTCTTTAAAAAGCGGTGCTCTACCAGAGCTCTTTAATTTTCATTTTGAAAAATAATTGAGGTTTTCTCAGGCAATGATTTTCGATTTTCAAACTTTAAAAAGAAAAATTGGGAATCACGTCATGAATTGTTACGATGTTTTAATGTACACAAATGGTTCGACCGCAATGGCAATTCCATTATTGTGCTGCGTTCCAAGACTCAAATCACTTAATCGAAACGTAGTGATTGCCCTCGGCTGCTTTGATTACATTTCATGCGAGAATTCACTCTGCATTTCCACCCCCCAATTCCTATCGTACATGCATGAGGCACTGACAGAATATTGCGTCAATAATTCTTGCAAAATTCAATGCTTTGCACTCACGCCAGAGAATGATTTTTCAAAACACCAAGTATTAAATGCAGTAAAATCTCATTATAGTCGCACCTCTCCTCAATTTTTTTTTCGCGAATCTTCCGGTGCTCTGACTCTACTACTCCCGGGCTACAAGATGTGAAGAATCCATTGTTTCGTTCGGCGAGGAATTGAATTCCGTGAAAGATAAACCCGAAAAATAAATTTCCACCGCCATGTGCCGGAAAGTAACTTTTCAGTCACTCCACTTCGCTTCGCTTGCCTAAAAAGTGACTTTCCCGCACACAGTGAAGAAAGATATTGCTCGCAATTCGTGCAGAAAGTTATTTTTAGCATTTGGGATTATACCACTCGCCATCGACTTGTCAACCTCACATCCCAAAAATCACTTTTCCGCACTTGTTACGAAATATACTATTCTTTTCAGTTTACAATGGCAACGATCGCGCGTTTGTCCCGTCCGTCTCGATTAATATAATCGTTCATATTTATTTAAATCTATAAGACCAATTTTAATCTGTAAATTACTCAGATAATTGGACACAACTCGGTAATTAACTCATTAACCTGAACCCGCGTTTTTGGTTTACATTTTACTTCAACTCCACTAATTAGCGCAATTTTTTATTCGTCCCCATAGTTTTTCCGTGACTCATTCATTTTATTTTTAAGCTGTTCATTACGTCTATTCATAAGTGATCAATGTGAATCGTGAATATTGATCAATTACTAAGAGGAGTGAGAGATTGCTGATGAAGCAGTCGAGAGATTTGTCAATAACCATCGAAATTTCAGTTATTATCGGAGTCCATGACACGGAGGTTTTCTTTTAGACTCGATAATATAGTGTCAACTGTACTGTCCAAAAATATGTAAAAAAACATTCGAATGAACTCATGAATTTATTTCCCTAGTCTATTATTCCCCTGCAGATCAATCCGTGAACGTGACGCTAGCCTTTTTCAGGGTTTCCCATTAATTCTTTTGAGTCCTCGGAAGAACCTCATATATTTTTTCACTTATTCAAAGGTCTATTTAATAATCTTCAAAATGGCGCATCAATCATTCAATTCTGATGATTTTTCATTGAATTATTTCATTATTAAGAAAAAATGTATTTTTGTGTTTTCACTGAAAATTTATTATTGCAATGATTATTCTAACTTTCCGATCAAAATTAATCAAATAATTGATACTCCATCATGAATGGTGTCATTCATTCTCTAAATTATCATTTATTGCTTGCCATTTCATAAAAAAAATGAGTGATTTTTGTAAGTCCTACATAAATTGCAAACAATTCCGAATTGAATGAAAATATGAGTTGTATTGTTGAATATTCTCAAAGGATTTTGAGTTATTAAAAATTGAAATCCTCAACAGCATTGGAGATATTACTCCGTAGCAGATATAAAACGTTTCGACCCCAAATCTCAATGGTATGATATTTTTAACTCCGAAGAGTAGAGGCGTGCATATTTTTCCAATTTTATCCATTCTATCTCCGGATGTTTTATTTTTACGTTAATTCTCTTTTTCTCCAGCCTTTAGAGTAGAAGCTGTTGAAATATTCGAGAACAGCTCTCGTTCTTTGGTCTAAGACCACTCGACGAAGATTGATGATACACCGAGGTATGAATTCAGGAAAAACGACTAAATTCCAATCCGGTTTAGTCTGAACTCATCCTCAACAAATATCGAAATTTAAAGAGAGAATCCTCCTCCAGGCTGATAATTCTTTCAAATTTCATTAAATCTTCATCGAATAGTTCTTCCATGACAGATTAAAAATAAACCATGAGAGAATCCACACATCCTCAAGCAAATTATTAATTCGTCATCATAAATAGCAACGATTAAATAATACCGGTAGCATAATGCACTCGTTAGTAATATCCAGATCATATTAGATGCCTCCATAAATGATGATGTCATGGTGTGCACCAAAGTATCGGATCTATGAGAATTGAGAATGACTCAACTAGATTTTCTTTGATAAAACTATAATTCCTATATTGAAAGATTTTCCATGCATAAACAAGCTGATGGGGCACTCCCTATAGATTGCGATGCACTTCATGTTCATCTTAATTCCCTTTAAGGTGGAAACTATCTACCCATACCGTCAAAGATAGTGGTATGTATATAACTATAATACACACGCTTTGCCTTCCATACTGTACAGATACCTTCCTAGCTGGTTCCTGTCGACTTTGACTACATATACACAGAGATGCCTTTCATATCCTCAAGTTACGCGTTTAAAGGAAATCGATATTCAACGAATGAGCAGTAGTCTGTTTTATACATCAGTCGACGATAAATAATTTATATATAGTAAGATCGCAGCACCGTACTATCTATTTTTCAGTGTAAACGAAACATCTATTTATGTTTATATCAATAACTATGACTCGATATGGGGGATTAGTTTTCAATTAATCATACCCCTGAAAACTCGGAGGATATTGGGATACGATTTTCAATTGATTTTTTTCTCGGATTAAGAGGAATATTTTGAGATTGGAGACTGCATCTTATCTTGTACAGATTTTTTACGACTTTATTCAATACAAATATTCAAAATATTATGAATATTTTGTATGAATTATATTAAATATATTCAATATTTAATGGAATATTAAAAAATGTAAATTTGAAGTGGTTTAAATACAATGTTGACATCTAATATTACGAGCCATATTTTTTAATGTCCCGGTTTTATTATGCATCGAGAGTTAAATTATTAAAATTTTAAATGCACTCGCCATTGCGGGAAAAACTTTTGACTGTTTTCAGGGAGAAGCTACAATATCTTTTTACTTTCGGTCGTTTCAAATGAGAAAACTACCATGTTAATCGTTCATCGCATTCTAGTTATTATGGGGAAAAAAACCAGAGGGGGTCTAACCGATCTGGTTATTTTCCATAAACCAGTCATTACTAAAGAACTCCGGGTCTATCCTGGTGGAATGGTCTTCATTTATAAAAATATCGAGAAATTGTTTCGCCTCATAAAGTTCACCGATTGACTTTAGTACCGAACCGATAAATATTCCGATATTTCTATTGTAAATCTTATGTTTGAGCTCTCGGGATTTTCCGAACTAATGAATTTCATAAAACTGTACAGCTGCCAAGTGATTGACAATGAATAGCAGTTCTGTCGATTTATATCCTTCCGCTGTCATCCCTCATTCCTCGAATACGAGAGGATCAGTTGATTGGTTTAATGAATCTATTACAGAACGTCTGACTCCAATTGGTTGAAGACCGAGATGGAATAATCTAGAGATCTTATACGACAGTACTTAAGTAGATTCTGTCATGATCTGCCTACCATATTTTTCGAAGATATTCTGTATTTCCCTGAACTTTAGACTAGAAAAATTCTCTTAACGCCTGAATAAATTAATGGAGTTGTATAAATCAGATTTCAATTTGATAGATTTCATTTTGTGAGTGACTGTCCATAATTTACGACTGAATCCCTTACTTTTTATGAAAGCTACATACCACATTGACATGGTACTGAAAATGACACGTGTAACTTTTATAAAAAATGTTATAAAAGTTGAAGAACGACTGTAAAGTGTAAAAACAGATGTAACAAATTATCAGCTTACCTATAGTCGCCATGTGGAGTTGTCTTTTGTATTGTCACGTCCATCGTGGATGTTGCTGATCCATTATACATCTTCGACATTGCGTTCCTCGAATGATAACAATTTCAACTAATGCACATAAATCACGGATATCCTGGGTAACGTGATTGTACTGTCATTTTTTTTCACTCCATTCACTGTTTAAACTTTTCGTTTTCCTCGTCCTCTACTTCTACATTACGAATTAAATCGTCAAGCACATCAGATAACACATTAAAAATATGTGAGGAGTACGTTTAGTTGTTTTTTGTTCTGTTCTTCGATATGGTCACTGTCGACGCAGAGTTAAAATAATAAAATGGACACGATCAAAATGAGAGAAACAACGAATACCGAGAAAGACTGAGAATATTCGCAGACATTATACGAGTGTCATTGCACGTCAATAGGAAAGAAACAATAAAAGTGAACCGGGTAGATTTTCGTTTCGTTTTTCTACGATAGAGGGTACATCTACCCTCGTGCCGGGAGCATTATCCAACTTGCACCACCTCAATAAGCTGTACGTATGTATGACTCTTCGATACTCGTCTTACTCAGCCAATCTCACCCCAAACAACAAATGTAATCAAGTTAAGCACTATATCTCGTTGTACACTTTACATGATCTGTATATTCAATCATCGGAGGAAAATGGTGGTGCTTTTAAACCTGGGGTTTTACAACGTGCATTATCAGTCACTGTTGATCAAACATAATAATTCACCCACAAAATTACCCAATCCAAAACAATTTTCCACCAAAAGCCTGACCCATCGACAACAATCACAAACCACAATATTCACGATTACGAAACTGCCTTTTTTAAATCACAGACACTAGAATTATCCATCTGCTGTAATGTAACCAATGGCCATTGATGAAATTTCCACTGTCAAAAATTCGTCACTTTATTTCCACTAGAAACCCTCGAACTCACTCCTCCACCGAAACAACTCCAATTACTTCAATAAAAAAAAAAACAAAAAAAAAACAAAATGAAATAAACTGAAAAATTAAAGTAAACAGAGTAGTCTAGAGTGTTGAATTGTTCCAACGGATGTGCCTGAACGAAAACGAAAAAATAATTTCTCCCCGAATTTTTAATATTAAAATTTGAAAAAACGTAATCGACGCGAAACAATAACCATCACGTATCGCAGCCCGTACGGAACTACTGGCACTAGACCAGCCGAGCTCTCAGAATCCCCCCTCCTCCGCCCCTCTTTTTCCCCCATCGCCCGAAAACGGTCAGTCGTATTTCCACTTCTCCTCGACACCCCCCACCTAACCAATTTCTCCCTACCCATGGAGAGAACTACCACGCGTCCCAGACCCCCTCCACGCCGACATTAACGTCCGAGCCACGCACTAGACCTACCCCGGAACGTGACACACGCTCTTACGCTCGATAGTGGGGATAGGGGTCGCGTGGCAGTCGTAGTCGCGTTGAGGGTGCTGAGGGTGCTGAGGTAGCGGCGAGACCAAGTGTATCCGAGTGAAGCGATTGAGGGGAGTTAGGGGAATGTGTAGACGAGAGGAGAAAGGATGTAGAGAAAGGACAGAGAAAGGACAGAGAGAGGACTGACAGAGGACATAGAGAGGATAGAGAAATGACAGCGAGAGCACTGAAAAAGGACAGAGAGAGGACAGAGAGAGGATAGAAAGAGGACAAGAGGTAGGACGGTTGCAGGAAGAAAAGGTTAGTAGAGAGATGGTTCAGGCTCAATGAAAGAGTGAGATAGATATTGTCGTTTTAATGTTCGTAGTGGTGTGGTAGGAGCACCAGCTTCAGCATCACCCACCAACATACCAACACTAGTGCGAGCACCAGACAAGCATCACCGACAGAAGCAGAGCTGCATACAGTCAACACCACCAACGTCGTCAACTCTTCGTTCCAAGGGGTGACAACGCAGGCGCATCGGCCTCTCTGCCCACCCTCTTCTCGGTTTTTCCTCTCCCACCGCTCGTTTCCTCGGCTTTTTTTTTCTGCGTTATTTATTTATGTACGCTTTTTTTTACAACGAGTGTACGCGAGAGGGCGCAGAAATTGAGAGGGCAGGGAGGCTGAGATGAGGTAAAATAAAATAGCAGAAATACATGGGATCCCTCGTGAAGGCCGCCAACGAGTGGAGAGACCTCTTACCTGCTCCAACGACTATTTACAGGCTAATGCTCAATCTCCTCTTTCACTGCCGCAAGGTATCCCGAGTATTACTGCAATAGCGCTAGGGCGCTTTGATGATCTTTCTACCGTATTTTAGGTGTCGATGCTACGACGTCAATGAACGCATATTTTTTTTACTGATGGCACGATTTTTGCGTTTTTCTACGTGTAGTTTATTCTGCTTTGATGTTGCTCCGTATATTTTTCAATTGACGGAGACTGCTGGCAAATATTGAGGCAGGTCTTGACTTTAGGAATGTTGACCATTCCATCTCGGTAAAAATATTTGATTAAATTATTTACCGGGTAATCTATACATTACAAATCGATAAATAGAATGAGAATGAGATGAATTTAACATGAAACCGAAACCGCCATGGCGGCAGTGCCAACATTTCTCGAAATAAAGTGAGGGAAAGGGGCGCGTTTTAAGTGCTCGAAAATATCTTCAACAAGACCCACGGAAATTAGAGAGTTAAAGCAGATTTTTTAATGAACGTATGTCAAAAATATCGTTTAATTAACAATCAATTGGTGACTTTCAGCCGAAAAAGTAGATTTCTCTAAGCGGATGGAGTAACGACCTGAGGTCGGTAGCCGGCAACCCTGATCAATTCCTTCATTCGGCAACTAATAAAAAGTTAAATAGAGATCTGATAGAAGTTTCTTCTAAATTAACTCGACGTCTGTTCAAATCTGACGGATCAATGCCTTAAGAATACTCGTGTCTTCTTCATGAAAAATGAAGACTTCAGTTAAAACGAATTTGGTGAGTTGCTACTTTTATTTCTATATTTCTCCCATATCCCAATACAAGTTGTGACAAAAAATGAATTTATCAAACTCATGAAATTTTTATTATAAATCTCTTCCCCGTTTCTCTCTCTCTCTCTCTCTCCTGTACCCTTTCTACAATTCTCATGAAAAGCATCATTCCTAAAATTAGAGAACGGAAATATACTTGGAAATCCCTTTACAACGAACCACCCTACTATCAAATGAGAATAGAACAAGCATAGCTTGTCGTTTCGTCGCGACTCCAAACGAGAGACTAATCTCAAAAATAGCTGAGAAAAAGCAAAGCCTTCTCGCCGTGCCAGCAGACGAGTCTCAATTTTTTCCCTTTTCTCCCCAGAAAAATAAAATAACGTAAAACGAAATAAAAAGAAAAGTGTAAAAAATATTTACGGAGTGCATTTTCGTGTGTCTCAGTCTGAGTCGCCGTATATAGCTTCAACGATAGTTAAAACGAACTTCAGAGACTAGTGCACTCTCTTACTTAGTCAGATAATGGGGAAATTATTTCAACGAGTTTTGATAATCATATTCCCATTGATCACGTGCATTGATGCTAATAGCCAACAGAATGTGTATCGCCGTCTTTCCATGATGAATGATATATTATCATTTTTAAAAAATCAAGTATAATGTTTTTTTGAAGCCTTCGAGTCGATTCGAGTCCGACATGAGTCGATTGGCTAATTAATTATGTTATTTTCATGTGTAAGAATTTCTATACATGATTTACATACATTCTCGACATATGGATATTCAAATATAATGAAAATTCTCACTTCAATTCAGAAATCATTTCCAAATTATTTAATAACGGCTAAGCAATTTTTAAGAATATCTATGAGATAAACGAACGGAATAGGAATAATGAAAAATGTTACGTTGAGATCTCTGATGAGAATGGTTTGTTTATATATTTAATCTAAGAAAATACAGTATTATCTGACCTGCACTGCACGTGCGGCGCGCGCAAATAGTTGTAATTTATTTAAAAATTCAGGAAATTAAATAAAAGTCTCGGTATTATCGGTAAAATTGTACATGACTATGATGCATAGATGCGCATGAGAGTTAACCCCGAAGTTTTGCGGTTCTAGGGGGGCGTCAGGATGGTGAACGCGGTGATGAAGACACTGGTGCCACGTACACTCGGTATAGGGGCTTATGGAGAAGGAGGATAACTGAAACTCGGGTGGGCCGCTTCCGCTCGCCGGATTTACTTGCCTTTCGTTCTGTACTTCCTACGCGATGAAACTTTGACAAACATTTCCGGACCTCAGCTGCTCCTAACTTCTAAAGCATGGAGGCAACGCCAAAAAAAAAAACATAAGTCGACAATTTCTTTTAATAATCGTCTCCTTTTATCTCATCGAGATGTGAAATCCGAATTTTATTTCGTTCAGAATTCTCGTTTCATTGAGTTCTCTATACAATTTCTTATTTTATCCCTCCTATTCCGATGGAATCGGTAAATATTTTTATTATTAACTTTTTATTAACTGAATAATTATTTGTTTCCAATTGAGAAGACATTGTACTCTCGCAGAAAACTGAGGTCTTAATAAGATTTGAATTATAAAGAACTATTTAGTGATTCTGCGTTAAGAAGGATTACTAATCCTTGAAGGATTAATAAATAATTAATAACATATAATAGTTAATAAAAGGATTATCGTTCTCAGCGTAATTCAGGTTTTACAACAAAATTCGACGGACCTGATTGGAAATCGCTTGATATTCACCTGGAGCGTGATCATAGCTTAATCCAGTCGATCTACATACGTGACATTACCGATAACAATAAACTCACAACCTTGGTGATAAGAAAAAACGAGGAAATGTTAGCGAGAAGAGCGAACAGCCTGACTGAAGCCAGAAACAGGCGGTTACCGATAAATTAAATAACGCCCCTCAGAGATTGTATTTAATGGATTAGCGGCACAATGTCATTTAATTCAACAGACAGAACTTATGACATTATTACAATCGAAATGAAATAATTCTGCATCAAAATGGCGAAGCGGAAATAATTTTACATATTAAATAAGGTACACGTTAAATAATATATTAATTAGATAATTTAAAAATCGTAGCAGATATATTTTTTCCAAAAAATATTTCATTTTATATATTTTTTTTTACCTAAAATTATAGATGACCGTCAAAGCGATGATCAGAAATCATTGAAGGCACTGGTTGTACGTAAAAAGTACCCTGGACCATATCCGCAGTGGCAATTTACATTCTTCTCCATCCAGTTCTCGTGATTTTTATTTTCTGTTTGCTTACCCCGCGAACCGAGGAGGGTGTTGATCGCTATCAATTGTACCGACAACATTCACTAACACACCCCGATGGTATAATGTATGCGTCCGCATCAGTTTAATACACGGATCATTGCGTTACATGTACGTAGTCATCAGCGAAGATAGAGCTAGAAGTAGGAAGACCGTAAAGTCCTCTGTAAAGTGCAATAGGAAGGCGAAAAGAGATGGAGGATGAAGTGTACACTGCACCTGCTTGCCTCGAGGCAACTCTTGCATTCAGCTTATTCTTGTTACGTACCTTCTCCTAGTTCATCCAATACGTGTATTAAGAAGACGAACTGATCTGGTTCTGAGGAATATCCTGGCAAGCTAAGTCGTCACATCCTGGATAAATCCCAGCGAGAATTTTTCGACTTGAGGAAGGTGTAACGGTTGATACATGTGAATTGCTTATATTTTGGATTATTATGATCAGGCTAGTCCAGAGTAATAGGAACGAGATGAAGAATCTATTTATTGACTATCCATATTTACAAGTGATAGTTTAACCGGAGTGTTCAAAATAAAACGATCGAACGTGAATTCATGGATTAATTCTCTGACGGACATTATTAAAAGTTAAAGACAAGTTAAAAATTGTTTAGCTTCACTCAATCAATTGCCGAAAATGTTATTATTTTTGTCATTCCTAGATCATTATTATTTGAAAAAAAATAATAAAGACTTGGCCTTGACAAAAAATGGAAATAATCAGAAATGTGACTGATGATTATCACTGATCGGGGGAACAGAGCGTAAAAATTGATAAGATGTTCAGTTATTCGTTTTACCGTCATACATATCGCTAGCGATTTATAGTTTGAAACATATATAAAAAAGAGCTGACAGAACCCAATTCATTTTTTATGATTTGTTATAGGAGGGCAAATAAAAAATAAATGAAAAAATAGGATTTCCCGTAATGTCCGATATTTTTCGATTGATTTGTTTGGAAAATGTAACGGAAGTAAAAATAATTGTCGGAGATAAAAACTGAGGCTCTAATTATGAAATCCTCACTTCAATCTGGAGGAAAGCATTACGCGTCAAGCCTAACGATTCATCACTGACGAACCGTTTGCTTGAGAACACGGTAAGAGAATAAAAACAGTTCTATCAAAAGTTTCGACGAGTCTTGAGAGAAACTCAAGGAATTGAGCGTGAGAGAGTCAGAGTTCGATAAAAAAAAGAACTGAGATAATAAAGAAAGGAGCTAGAGTGAAGGAAACGCAGAGGATAAACGAGGAAAGCGAAATGAAACAAATATAAAGCTGGTTAGAGGTTCGAAAGAATAAAGGGGAAAAAAAATAAAATAAAGAAGTAGGATGGAAAGATACAATCAGGTATCAAAGTTGAACGTGTGCACAGGGCATAAGATACACTCGTTGGAGAGATACGTCATTGTGAAGAGATCTTCCCACCGTACAGGTTTTCAGTTTGCTGGATGAGCATTGGGCTTCTTCGATATTTTCTGCAATTGCAATTCACTGAAGAAAGAGTGGAGCTAATGGTGATGATGAATGAAAGTGGGGATTTCAGTACTAAAAACGCAGATATATAAATATTTTGAAAATAAGAAACTCAAGACTAGAAAATGGAAATTCCATCCGATTTTATATTATTTTCATTACCTATTTCAATTAATCTATTATTTTTTAAAATAATTATTAATGTGAAATTCGATATCCAGAGTGCTTCAGCCCTTGGAGGTTTTGTTTTTCATCGAAACTAATTGCATTATCTCATTGATTAAAACAGTAATAAAGTTGTTACCGGATGATTAACAACGAATAATTAACAAATAAATAACAATGAATATAATTGTTAGAATACTGTTAAGACTGGTCCGCATAATTTGACCTTCTCATCGTCTCCAATTTCGCACATTAAAAAAATCCTAAAAGTGAATGATTATTATAAAAATGACGTATTAAAAATAAAAAAATAACAACAATCACAAAGAGTATGTCAAAAAAATATGAATATGTGTTTCAGCGTTTGACCATTTTCTGGTGATTTTAAAAATGCGAAAGTACTTTACATGTGCAGGGATGGTGGAATGGGTGGGTAGAAAGTTTAACCATCACATCTCACATGGACTTGGCAATACACTTGGCCATCTCTTATCTCTTTGCACCCGCGGCTTTATAGCACGAAGGCAGAAGTTGTCTCAGTGTGGGCTCCATACAGCAGAGAATCGACCAGTAACAACAACATCCGCAAAAAAAGAATATTGCTGCTGGTCGCTCGGCCGTCATGTTTCACAGGTACATACAATAACACGAGGTACATTCTGTGCCGTCATAGCCGGTTCTTTTCCCTTCCCTCTACGTCCTCTCCTTTCGTACTCTCTTTTACTCGTTTTCTACCTGTGAATAATGCCTCAACCGGTTCAACAGGTAAATGGACAGGATCGCGTGTTGTTCGCGTGGCCGAGCCCGACCGAATATCCACGGATATTTCCGAGCTGCATCATTGCACAAATAGCGTCATTAGATGCGGCAATCGCACTGCATCCAGAAAGGAAGAGGCGAAGAGGAACAAAGGGAAGAAAGGTGAGGCTGCACTGAAATTAGAGGTTCATCAATATAAAAAAATAATTAAATGAGAAAAATCTGTGAACGGGTGAAATTGATGTCCGAAGAAAGTCTTCGTTATCTGGACCAGTGAAATCGTCTTTTACCGGGAAAATGTTAGGGAAAATAAAAAAAGATCAATTTAATATTGACGTAACTGTCGGAAAAAATCGAGAAAACGAATCTTTATAATGATGTGGTCATAAGAAAGTCTTAATTTGAGAAAAATGAGGGTTACAATGAGAGGAATGCTGGAGAACGAAGCAAAGTTTCAACTTCCAATCGCGTGGACGAGCTGGGTTGGTCTTGGCTCGACGTTTCCAAGGACCATTAAACTCTGAGAACAAAGCGAAAAAATGGAAGGGCTGGGGGGAAAAAATCTCCCGACATCCGGCAACGCGACAAGTTTTCTATAGATGGAACACATTCACTTGACGATTGACAGTTATTTTTCTCTCTAATATCGACGCTAAAGACGATTGACGTTTTTCAAATTCACTTCCAATGTATCCTGTCAATTATCATTTGCATGTAGACGAATGTATTATAATAGTAAATTCGGACTAATCTAGATCAGCGGATACAGAATTGGGTGAAAGCATTTGTAGGGATTATACTCATCAAATTATTTTGCCAATCGCCACCAAAACGAATATAAAAATGGGAATTCAGATTTTCCTCTTTCCAAGAGATTCGGTTTGATCAGACAATCTCGTTCAACTTCAATGGATAAATCATTTTCTGAAAACTAATAATCACGAGAATATGATACAAGAAATCAAATCGAATGCGCAACGGTTGAGAGCCAATGGCAACAACCGGATTTTACTAAGTAAGGAAGTCAACGCTCGTTGGACTTGTAAAACTAGTCCTCTCCCGTTTGACTACTGGTAACCCTCATCATCAAAGCCCCCACATTCTATATCTTATGCACAGCATAATCCACTGGATCCCTCAAAACTCAAATGGATCGATTACAACCGATTGCATTCAATAGCAACAACTCCCCTAAAGCCATCCGAAATTATTTCGTCTTGGTGTAACCTAAAAATTGTGTGAGTATGAAACAATTCCACCAATAATTCAACAAAAACTATCGATAATAATTTATTCAAGAAATCTAAACCCCAATTTCTCATGCCTGATTTGCAGAGAGTAACGCAGAAAAGTGGTATATAAGATACGTCGATCTCCATCATGCCAACACAAGGCAGGTGGCTGATCAGCTGTATATAGAAAATATAGTGAGTTTATTTCGACGATTAGTTCTGGACCGAAAGAACGCCTCCAGGTACCGCGATAGTAATGAGATAAAAGGAGAAACGGCGAGGTTGAACAGGACGGAAAGGTGGTACCGTGGAAGATAACTCGAAGAGAGAGTGAGATAGATTCTCTTCTGCATGGTAAGGATAGTCAGCAGCCTCTCCTCCCTGATGAGCCCCCAGTAAAATACGTATACATGCAGAAATCTCATCTAACAACACAGCCACGCGCAATCCATGCACTTGTTCTCCAAGAAAGGTGGACGTCCGCGACCTTGATGCGCGTGGTTCTCGCGTGCCCGAGTCAAACCGAGTTATCACGAGAATAACCGAGTTCATCCTCCCCACCAACTATTCTGACACAGCACTCTGCTGAACTGGAAAAGGCTCTCCAGCCTCGGGAGTTTTCAAGCATCATCAGCCACCTGCCCCCTTCACTAAACCTCATCTCTTATCCTACTCTCCAGTTTTTGTTTTTGCTCTCATTTCTTGTTTCTATCTTGCTCATCTTTTACAGCCTCTTCATAACTTCTCTGTAGCTATACCTACTGAATCTAACCGAGTTTGCTCGTCAATCTGCCTGAAGCTTCACCGAAGCAGGATCAACTACAGAATTGCTGGACCAGTACTTCGAGTACCATCTGTAAGAGTTTAAATGGTTCAGAAATTTATGAAATAATTTTTTTTTTTCACTGCACCAAATACCAGAATTCCTAATAAAGATAAAACGGCGCTTATTATAATTAACGAGTTTCTCAGTGAAGGTACTCAGGGAACACTCATGCCCGGAGACGTCCTCACCGTTGGAGGACAACTTTTATATAATCGAATAATTTACGGAAAATAAGAGCTCGACCTTTAATATGAAAATATGGTAAAGCTGAATCAGGATTGTTAAATGAAGCTAAATATTTTGTATTTTGAATTTGCTTTGGAAGACACTAGGTTCGGTTTTTCGCTCTTACATTTTGAATGATATCGAAGCCTGATCTAAAGTTAAATCGTTAAAAATAAATAAATGATCGAGTCGTACATTAAAAATCGTGATGTTACTTCCCCTCCATGACGGGTCATATATCTGTAGGACCGATTCCCCGGACATTATATCCTTCCTATTCTCTATCCTAAAAAGGAAAAACATCGAGACTATCGATACCTCGAAACTCTGTCAACGCTTATTCCTCATTGGTTCAGTCATCTGAGGCGGCTAATTTGAATTTGGAACTCATTTAAATTAACAATTTTTAATCACGATTTTTATAATTACAGCGCGCTGTAGCGCGCGTTCATTCTCGTCCTATCCTAAAAAGGACAAACATCGAGACTATCGATATCTCGAAACTCTGTCAACGCTTATTCCTCATTGGTTCAGTCATCTGAGGCGGCTAATTTGAATTTGAACTCATTTAAATTAACAATTTCTAATCACGATTTTAATCATTACAGCGCGCAGTAGCGCGTGTTCGTTCTCGTGAAGTAAATAACGCGTTGACGTTTAGTGAATGAAAGATTAGACATGAAATAAATTCTTTAGTTTTCAATTTCGTATCTCTTCGAGTTCGAACTGAATGCTAAATAAAATTGCGCATTATCTCGAATGACGATAGACAAAGAAAAACTAGGAATATCGCACAAAAAATTGTTCCAAGAACGAGAAGAGATCTGGAAGAAATAGAAGTGAGCATTTGCGCTTTGACTATCGTTGAGAGGAAAAATGAAAATATAAGATGTACTGGGGTGAGTTCTCTCCGTAAAATGTCGGAGCGCTATCCAGCATATTGGATACTTCACTTCTGACTTCTATAAATATCGTCCCTCATTATTTCGCTGCGTACGCCGCTGGCACCTGTCGTGCGGCTTCAGGTAGAGGTCGGTCGAGGTATACGAACCGGTGAGGGTATCTGGTGAACGGCGAAATGGAGAGAGAACGGAGGCTTGGACATACCACACACAACTGCATTAAATCTTATACTCTCAAGCACAGCTCGAAGCTGTGAGATATTTCGCAACTACTAGCGCGACTGAGAGAGATCATTTTACTCGGATAAAAAGAGGGTAGGGATCGGATGCAGGTTGTCGATGCCCTCCACACTTGAAGGGATATAGTGGGGATAACTGAGGAGAACTCTCCCATAGGTGGGAGGTTGCTTTCCTAACCGGTCCAGGAATCCGGGGCCACCTTCACCAGTGGCTATCAACTTGTAAAATTTCAACTCAATTCAATTAAAAATCGTACTTTCTATTGTTCAAAACACTGCCATTCATGCAAGACAAAAATGAGGCGAATCTCTTCGACAATACTGGATATGTAATTGTAATAATTACTATTATATTCGCCGTCATGATTTTATCGGTCAGTTTTCAACTAATAGCCAGCATGACACGGGCAAAGATAATGCTAATGCCCATGCATCATCCGACGGTTTAGAAAAAAAACCGGTGAGATGCATTGTAATAGAAATATCAATTTACAACCAGTTTATATCGGACCGCTTCACGCTAAACCAATTCTTCGGTTTCTGTCTGTACAGTTGAGAGACGCCGTTGCATGATAAGGATAAATCACGTGGACTTGTGCACCGAGTTCTTTCAAGTTTTATGGAAAAATTATGTCCGCACAATGCGCATGAACATTCGGAGAGGCTCAACCGAAGTAGCGCCCTTTGTTCCTCCGTTAATTACAATTGTAGGTAAACGAGCACTTACTGTTTTTAATGACTATTTGTTGAAAACTTTTTATACAAGTAGAATTTTACTACTATGAATTACTTGGGTAGGTAAAACGCAGAAACAATACATCATTAACCCAATTTACTGATTGTTATTCATGTCGATTCTGCTCTTCAATCACTCTTTGGAAATTTCAAAGTTATCACTTGTAATGATAATCAATGGCACTCGGAACTTCAAGTTGGTGAAGTTGTGAGGGTGTCATATATTTGAATAAAAGTCTGAATAATCCTCTTGAACGTAGAGAAAATTGCGAAACAATTAATCTATCAAAATTGCAAATAATATATTACTTTACAAAATTAATGACCTATTGAAGTGAAGGAATGTCAGTAAAATATATTCGTTATTCCAAATCAGTTGCGTCTATGTCATTTCGATGTTGTAACATCGGGGCTAATTCTAGAGACCCTCGGTGTGATTCCCCGATTTCTTCTAGCATCGATGCATCTTCAATCGACGAACTTTCTGATGATTCTGAAAAAAAATGCTTCTATGGAATACGACCCAGGAACTATTCTGCATGATTATAAATTCAGATCTCCATGTGCTCAGAGTATAGATCACATTTTCAGGTACAGCAAAGATTTAAAAAATGATTTAAACAATCAAGTGTACCATCAGCATTATTTTTCCGGGGAATCTCGTCAATATCTCTTCTCTCGTATCTGAACTGTTCATTTGGCGCATCGTCCTCATAAGCGAAACGTAGATACGATAGTATGCACACAAGTGCTATGAAAAATAAATTTGTACTGATTCCTATAATGGCTGATAGGATAGGCCAATGAAACATCAAGTAACGTAGACCAGATAAGTGGGCATTGATTACAATTGAAGCTGAGTAAAATTCAATCTGCAGCGATTGAATTTGAACGAAAACAGAAGTCACGGGGTGGCTCTAGAATAAAAAATTTATTTAATTAATTAAGAATGTATCCTGCTAGGGAAGAGTTTCTGATCAGGAATATCATTTCATAATTTCACCATTTCATCATTTAACCAAATTTCAGAAACTTCGTAATTCACCCTAAATCATTGATTCACTCTCTGCCAGAATTTTTGGCAAATCCCGTACATTAAACATGTAAAGGATCGATTATCGTGGGTCGGCATTTTCTCGACTTCCCTCGGCAATTCGATCTGTCCGAGCGTGTGCACTGAGAAAAAAAATTCTTCAGCCAATATTTACTAACCACAAGAGAATATATTCGGCGTTAGTGAATCTCACGAGAATGAGTGCATAATGATTATCGGATTTACTGATGGGTCTTAAATATTCTTGGCAAGCGAAAATATTTTTCTCAGTGTGAGGGACTGAAGCCCGAGTGCTTAGGGGTAGGAGGTCAAAGTACTGGCAACATCATTGGGTAATACATGGACTAATTTCCAGTTACTCTATGAGACTTGCTGGCATTACCAGAGGCTTCGTAATACGTATGAGCATTCCATGTTAGATGGGGTGGGTAATAAATCGGCTGGTGGTCTGAAAGGGTTGTTCCGACCCACCAGTGGCGACGTTTGAATTCGGCACTCTCCAGGAGAAGCTAATGTCGTGGATATCCACGTTACGAGTAGTGGCAGCACATCACGGCTCACGGCTCACGGCTCACGGCTCACGACTCACGACCCAGTCGTAAGTGGGGATGAGAGCCATACGAACCGGCAATTCCCACTCACCGAGGAAGAGCCACTTCGGCTGGCTCCCAGTACGCACCAATGACTGATATCTCTCGAGCCTCTGGTCAGACCCCCAATACCAATCAATGAATCATCTAATCCCCTATTTATAAATAATGCTTATCTTCTTTTATCAGCAATCTATTTCGTTCTTCATGGGGTGAATTTACGCTCCCCATCATAGTATTCCTTATCAGAAACTCTCTCTTTCATCTTAGTATATTGTTATTCAGGAATCCATTCATTTTTTTCAATCTCGTTACCTGATCCTCTTCAAAATTTCCAAATAACTCTAGAACAATATTTTGCTTCTCTTCGCGGTTACCGAATATCAACATTGGTGAAAATGTGAATGTCGTTAATGCATGAAGCAATGTACTGCGATAATGCAGCATCGTTGGCCTGCAGGATCTGTCAACTGCCCAACCATCGCGTGCCAATAATTTTGCACACACCATAAACATACCTGAGGAAAAATTGAAGAATTGTATTATTGTCTTCGAGGAGAGTCTATAGGAGTAGACCGTCCCCATTGACATCTGTTAAATACAATAGGACCATGAGGATGGATCAGATTCCATTATAAAATTCAAAAAATTGTTGAAGCTGATGAGTTTATGAGGTTTTTGAAGAATTAATTCGGATCCATCACCATCTTCATGTATAATACGGGTAAAAAATAAAAAATTGTAGATTTTTTTACCGAGCTCTTTATTAGCTGGAGACTCAGGTAACTCAAGATGTAAATTGACTTTATACGGTTGACCAATCATCAGCAGTTGTTGTTTTTTGGTCAATTGTACCTTTGCTGATGGATAACTACATATTCCTTTGCTTCTTTCACATGATCTAAACATCAAAGTAGATAGAATTTACGATGCTCTTCAATCAAGGCACAGAAAATGAGATTAATGAATCGTTGTAGGAAAATAATTTCATTTTTATTAATTCTGAGTAGTATATAAATTGCTTACTCGAATTCTAAATGTACTGGTCGCATATGTAGCATACTTGGCATGTATGCATAGTAGAAAGCTGTATACAAGAATATCGATATCCAGACTACAACGACTGAAGTAATAAATATAACACCACCGCGAAAAAGTGCAATTTGAGTAAGTTGCACACTTTCTGACGTTTGTTTTTGAAAGTTGAACCATTTGTCACTCAAATGTCGGATTAACCGTGAAAATATCATGATATCCACTAATTTACAAGTCTCACTTATTTCGTAGCATTGAATCACGAGACTGAATGATAAACATTTAATCCCGAAATTTCACCTATTTTTATGAAATCTAAAATTGATAAAACTGCAAATATATCGTAATAATTTTCTTATCCTTTTTAGCAGTGATTAGTAACTCTTCTTACGAAAATACGCCAAATCAGAACTATAACCTTTGAACGTCGAATTTAATTCAGTAATCAGTCATGAGAGGCAGCACTGTGCCGTCATACATTCAATATCCAGAATCCAGAATATAGAATGTGTATACCTTAATCATCAAATTGTATTTTTTTGAATATTCATTTTCCCTTTCGGTGTTCGAGTCGGGGTCGTCCTTTTTTAGCTGCTGGCTTGTCCTTCCCTTTGTTCAATAGAGGATGAGTTTCTAGTGATGAAAAAAAATATATTACTGTTCTCTCCTAAAGTGAGATGATAAATTGGAAATAAATTCAAAGAATATTTCCATATACTTCAAAGAATAAGATGTTTAGAAGTATGTGAAGATATTTTGTGTATGAAGAAATGGTTTCATTCATTCAGTCATTTTTAACTAACCATCGACTGGTGCTCCTGATAGATGAATATCATGGGAGCGATGTTTCTTCGATGGTGGCTCATGAGCTTGTGGCTGATTCTCTTCAGTTTCCTCGACGTCAGGGGCTATAGGTAGAAATTGGAGAGATCCAATGTCTTCAGTCTCTTCATCAGAGCTGCAAAAAGCAGCTACCCTATCAATAGCAGCAACGTCCACTTCAATTTCTTCATCATGAGCCTCTTCTCCCTGGACAACTGATTTGTCCTCGTCACTCAAATCGAATTCACTCTCACGCTCCTCATACTCAACATTTTCATCCAGTTCTTTGAAATCAGGTGCAAATGCTGACCAATTCTCGACTTGATTTTGCGCCCAAATCGAAACAACTCCTGATGATATTGATGCTATTATCGGCCTAACTGGATGCCAAACCACATCGCACAGTAATTCTCCCTTAGTACCGTGTAAAATTTTCACTAAATTTCCAATACTTTTTTCCCAAACGTAGAGTGCGTGTTGTCTAGCGGAGCCAGCACAAACGTATTCTCCATCACCGGAGAAACAACATTTCTTCCACATTGTTTTGTTCACTAAATCCTGCAGTTTTTGGATTGGCTCGGGCTCGCCATCTTTTCCACATGCTAATATCTCTGTGCTATCGTATACACGTATGACACGATCAGATGTATTGACTAAAAAACACGATCCACGTCTTGCAAATTCGATACTTTTCACTGCTGTATTGCTGACTGTACCCTGAGATATTTTGTAGGACGCTTTGATGGCTAATGTCTCAGAATCAAGGACAATTATTCTACCTCGAGCATTGCCAGTATAGATATAAGCACCACGACGATCAAAAGATGCTACAATGTTTAAATCACTCTAAAACAGATATCCAAATCATGTAGGCATTAATCATTAAAAATTGAATAATCATATGTGATTATTAAAAATCATTGAATAATTGAAAAAAATTGAATAATCGGGAAAACAAGCTGCAGAAAGAATTTTAAACATAACAATAATAATAATTATTCCTTTGTTGTTAAGGGTTGTAAATATTCATTTCATGATTGAAGATGACGTGATCGATTACTCGTCAAATTACCAGGTTGTGCACATTTTTGAAACCAAAATTCTCAGTGAATACTCACATCTTCATCTAAAGGTATAACTCGGTGGGTTCCCTCTGTGTCCACTAAAACAGCAGCGTGTCTCATTGGACAGACTAAAAATTTATTCGAATTTCTCGGGTGAAACTGGACTTTCAATATTGGCGATGGAAACCGATATTTTTGGTCACATTCACCGGATAACACATTCCAAATGCAGACATTGTTGTCAGTGGATGCACTAAGCAATTTGTGGCCATTTCTCGACCAGCTCAGTGAACACACCGGATGGACATGAGCACCTATTATTTTAGCTATTCCTCGAGTAAGGAAATCCCAAATAACAATTCTGCCATCGTTGCATCCCACTGCTAACAGGGTACCTCTTTTATTGAATGTGCATGTCACTGCTAGTGATATACAGTCCAATGTTCCATCGAATTCCTTAATTAAACATAATAAAATTAATTAAAAATGTAGTAACACTCTATTGCTGTGAAAGAAAGGTTATGAAAATATTTATCTTACCTCTGGATAATTCTGCCCGAACGATTCTGAAATAACAAAAACGAATAATTCTATGATTTAACAGTAGAAAAAAATTTACAATACATACCAAGAAGTTCTAAATTCATTTTTTTTATTTGAAAACTTCTCTTTCGATTATTATAGGCGAGATTACCAGCGCCTGTACAAAACCTTCAACATGTGAAAAAAATTGGAAAAAAATTCACTCTCAATTATTTCGGATATTTTCGTTGGCTTTCGGAGATATTCGTTCTTTCGATAACGAGTTCGACTTGCAACCAAACGATTCGACCTCGATTCTCGTTCGATTTCGAGTCGCGTGTTATTCGAGAATGTGGATATCTCTTCGTTTATAGATTGAGAAGTAATTCCTTTTTACAATAACAATATAAATCATTATTCAATCTTCATCTTATGAGCTGTGCATTACATCTCAACCATGTTTTTAAAACCTTTCAAAGTGAAATCTAATAATCAGTTGAAAGGCACCGAAAGGTTTGTGCAAAAATCATGTAAAAATATTGTTAATAATTTATTATAAGCTTGCTTCTGTTGGGTTAATGTCAAAGAGAATATATCTGATCGGGGTACAGTTTTTCATCACTAGCAATATTTTCAAGACTTCTTGGGACCAAGTTATATCTGTACAAAAATTAACCCTGAATTTGTGTATTGCCTCCAAAAATTGTGAAAATAAAAATATTCTCGTTATGCCAAAAAATGCCGCAATTGTCTAATTTATGAATTTACTCTCCTTTACTCAATCGATATTAATAATCTATATTAATCTATAATTAATAATACCTCAACCTAGATTGTTATTTTCATTATGATTTCTTTTTCAGAAAAAAATTATATGAGGCTGTAACTCGCAGATTCCCCAAGTTATCCGATGTTGACATTCAGGATTTGCTTCCTAAGAAGGAATTGATCACGGTTATGAAGATTGTGACACATAATGAAGAAATTTGTAAATTGTACTGCGTAGCCAAAGTCCCGATTTTTTTCGAATTGGATCAGCCAGATTTTCCCATATTTCCAACAATTTTCACCCTTTGGCGATTTCCCGATTTATTGTATGCATTCACAACCCATCGTGCAGTCGTATCTAAACTGGCAAGTGGTGCCAGTTTGATGCTGCCTGGAGTAATTTTGGATGGACCACCGACGATGTCGTCTTATGGGCGATTGAAAAAACACACACCGGTCTCTGTTAACACAGAAGACAACAAGGTAATATATTTGCGTGTTTCACCGATGATCTATAGTCATCTGATGAGTAGAAATCAGTGAGATGACACATTGAAACGAAAAATATTGAGAATTTTTTTGTGGGCATCCCTCTTCTTCAAGTTTCAATTTTTTCAGGCTCCAGTGGCAGTTGGTATCACCTTCCATTCATCGGAGGATATGTATATGTGTGCAGGTCGTGGAAAATGCGTTGATATTTTACACGTAACTGGTGATGCTTTGTGTTCGTTGGGAAAGCCTCCGTGTAGACCAGAACTAGGACCGATTTCTTATGACCTGACGTGCAGAACGTCTGAAGACAATGAAAAGCCACCAGAACGAGTAGTTGATGAGATGTCAGATTCTCCCGAGAATATTGAGTTTACACAACCACTAGCAACTATGGAATTTGAGAAGAACACTGCAATTATAGATACCGAGGTTTGTTCATATTTTCCACCGCCATTGCGACGTATTATTATCATCATTTTTTAATTTACCCTGATTATTTTCTAAGTGGCATTTTTTTTTCATTACTCTTAACATATAATCTGAAATTTTTTTCTATTAGATATCTATCGCAAATTGTTTCTGTGTTGTGGCTTCAATATTTCTATCACTTTATTTATAATTTTAGGAGGAGGACAGAACAATTCCTGCAGAACCAGTAGAACTTCCAGTCGACCCAGTGGAAGAAATGGACAGACTCCTGGAGTTCTCTTTTCTAAGAGCTTGCAAAAAAATTAAGAAAACCGAACTCCCCATTCTCAGTTCAAATTTCTTCAAAAATTATCTAATTCCTGCTTGTCCCTCCAGTCAACCTTTGGACTTAAAAAAAACCAATTACAAGAAATTATCAGTCTTCCTAGCAAAAATGAAAACAAAAAAGATCATCGATACGACAATAATTAAAGGTGTTGAAAGTATAATATATATCGACTATGACAATTCGCTATTAAAGGACGTAGACGTGTGCGAAGAATCCAAAGAGCTACCAGAAAGTTCGTCAAATACACCAGTTATTACGGAATGTTATAAAATTACAGCAGATGTTACGCCAATTCTATCCAAGTTTGGATACGAAAAGGGCGAGATCATGAAAAGACCAGAAATTCGAAAATGTTTCATCGATTATTTACAGAAAGAGAATCTCCGGGATGGGAAAAACTTTACATTAAATCCTCAGCTGGCTAACATATTCAAAACGAAAGAGAGTATTGTGACGCTAACAGTGGAGGATGGAATCAACAAATTTATTGGACGCATGACGCATACGTATGAGATTTCGATAGCTGGTACAAATTTCCTACGCGTTGGAAAATTAGAACCCATCGATATCACCGTGGCAACTCGATGTAATAATAAAAAAGTCACTCTGGTTAACAATTTGGAACAATTTGGAATAAAATTGGATGAATTCAGTAAAGAGTGCCAGGGAATTGGCGCCAGTGCCACAATTACCGATGTTCCTGGAAAAAAAACACCGAGTGTTCTTATTCAGGGCAATCAAGTGATTTATGTGTATAAATTACTGACGGAAAGTTACAAGATTCATAAGAATTATATACGAGGCTTGGAATTTGCACCGAAAAAACGCAAATAAGTTATTTTTTGTGATAATAAACTGCTGTTTAATCAACAATAATTTACCCTATCATTTTTGCTCGATTCGACCTGGTTGATCGAATTGGACAAATTAGACAAAATTATTTTTGAAGTTTATGGTAGCCTGTTGCCTTTAATCGCCACTCAGCTCATCGTTAATAGCGATGTATGAAATTTGGACGAGGGGATGAGGAAATAATATTCCCAATACTAATAATACAATATAATTAATATGTTATTAATTTTTTCTGATTTATTCGTTTAAACGCCATAAAATGCATCACCAACTCCCAATTTTTATAAAAATCTACATATCAACAGTTTTTTTTTATATACAAATTCTTAATTATGTACAAGTGCTATGATATTCCTGTGCAATAGTTCCCCATAAACTATATATTAAGTACAATAGAAAGTTCATTTTAAAAAACGATGGATACGGATTATCACACCTTGAGATTCCGCTAATTTCCGATTTTCAACGATTGACAACAAAATTCAACAATACAGTGCATCACGATATAAAATTATTATGCGTCATTCCATAAAAAACTAGTATTGTACAGAAAATTGTCACTATCTCATTAACTCGCCTGTGATATTGATAACGCACGAGTGGTACATGTGAATTATACGTAAATCTCGTGAGTTTACGATTGCACAACGCCTGATCCTCCGCTTATCGCTCTCACTGCAACATTATGGCAGCATTATTATGTTCTCCAATTGAGTATTTTGCTCCTTGAAATTAATTCAATCTTGTAGTATTCGGAAGACTGCAATGTTGTTTTCGAAAGTAGTAATATGTCACAAAAGTCCCGTTTCGTTATCAGAAATACCATTGGTGTTCATGGATGATTTTTCTGGGAGGCACTTCATTATCGTCGGCTCTATAAGCTTCCACACCTCGCCCAGCTGAAAAAATGGGTATCTTGGTCGTACTCGTGGGAGAGATTGATTCAGTTATGAGTTATTAAAATTATTCATGTGTTTTACCTCCGTGTGGCCCCTGATTTGAACTTTTACAAGGCTTTGGAGGACCCCTGCTAATATTTCCAAATATGCATGGATAAGTTGTGTCTCCATGTGAAGACAGTGGAGTGAGAAGGAATTCCTTAATTCAACATTTGCTATGACTGACTCCTGAGCTACCATTTTATTTTCAAGACACTCTACGGTATCTGCCTGAGAAAAGGAAGAATAATAAATATAGAATCATTAGCTGTGGAGAATGACAATTTTTTTATATGGGATTTAATGTTCTTTTTCATTTTTCAAAAATTCTTCAAAATTTTCTTGAAAATTAGGAAGGGGGACAATCGGATAATTATAATGTTTTCTTTTAGAATCAATTGAGAAACCTTACGTCAGTGCCTCGAATCACCCCTTGCATCTGTCTCTTCTTCAGGGCGAGCATGGATGAAAGTGCTCGCTGATGATCAGCACTGACTCCTTTTTCATGTCTTTCGCAAAGTGTTCTGTGTGCCACCAACACATCCAACAGCAGATTCAATCTTTCGCAGATCATAGTCTCCTCCCTCACTGCCTGCTGAAGTGCTCGTGTCGATAATAAATTGAATTCCCTGGAATTCACGACAAAAATTTCTCAAAATAAGTTAGTATCCAGACCACGAAATGGACTTTCGTGGAAAAACGGGGAAAAATATTTCTCCTCGTTAATCAATCCACGAGCGGGACAAAAATGACTATTTAACATAATCTATCTAGAATCAATGAAAGCTCAATCGTCAAAACACGGCACCACTCCTACTTGGAGGTCAAATTGATGTGCGAGTTCGACCTGATCAATCGATTAATAATATAACTATAAATTTTCGATTTCATTAATTTTTTTTTAGTAATGAAAAATCCGTTCGTTATCATTTTTCTCACAATCTTTTTCTCAATGTGTTGATAATTAAGAATTTTTGATTTAATTAAAAATCGGTGCTGAGGTTTTAAATAATTTAATGATAAATTGAATATTGTTGTAATATACTTTGCCATAACGTGAAAGCCCTTCTTTATGTCCTGCCATACTGTCGAGCCACCACTGGCCCAACTACTGTTACCGTGCGGCTCCGACGCTAAATTACTCAATTGTGTTCCCAATTCTGCCATGTCAACCGCACATGAGTGAGATCTTATTGCCAAGCAGTCCGCAATGTTCTTCAGCCTCGATATCCCGCAAAGTATAACTCGTATCTGTTCGCGACTGTTGGCAAATTCAGTGAGGGTCTCAGGAGGGACCAATTCCTTAGCTCTCGATGATAATTCTGATGTTGCAAATTCATCTGGAACTCGTCTGAAGACCTCGCGAATTTTATGCTGAGTTTCCTCACCAGTGTATGTAAAGAAAAATTGAACTATCGGATCTTTCCGGACTATGGGATGACGAGCGATTAAAACGAGGAACCGAAGGAGAGAACGCCTTCTTTCCTCGAGAAACTGAGAATCTGCTGCAGAGAAAAACCAATAAAAATTCAATCTCTGAAATTAGTATATATCTCAGTAGTTGAGACGTGGAGATAAGACCATTCATTTTCATTTACCTCCGACAATTTTTTTAGGTGGCAATTTTGGTATCAGCCTGTAAGGAAATCTCGCTAACAGCAGTTCATGTAGAGACACAAAATCGCTATAACGCCTATGAACAATGGAATTGAAAGCCTGAAAAATTCACATCCTTGAACATTCGCAATAAGTCATGAAGATTTTCTCATTTGTAATTTCATGAAAAAGTGGGTTACTTTGCTAGTGACTTGATATTCCACGTGCTTCAAAAATATACCCTTTCTCTCTGGCACAATATTCACTTCGATGCTGTCCAATTTACATATATCCGTGTATGCTAGATTCAATTTAGCAGGATTGGTCCCACGATAGAGTCTTTGAGCGAGCAGTACAACCTCGGATAAATCACCGAGGGAAGGTACTGGAAGTTCTGCAGATTAAATTGAGTGAAGTCAATCGGGTTAATGGTTTCTAGGGGGAAAATTATATCAATTAGGTGGAGAATTTTTTACCTTGGGTTTCAACATTTTCGAGGAGCTTGTCACTGGGCTGTTTGCCCTGTTGAGCAAATGCTACTAGAGCCAGGCCTTTGTATAATCCACTTCTACTCAAATATCCAGTTTTACTGTCTACCAACTCCCATATCTAAAAAATCAGAAATGAAGTGATAATTTAATTAATTAATTCATCCATATCCCATTGCATGTAACACGACTAAAAAATATCAAACGAATTTCATTCCTTTTTTCTTTAAACAATTCGCCTCTATCTTAATTAATCGAAATATAATTACTCATTTATATGAATTCTTGGAGAGAGACGATTGAGCAAAATCTCGATGAGAAAGGTAAATATTATTGAAAGTTCTTCTTAATAATTTTCTATTTTCCACTTTACCATTATTTTGTGAATTGTTCATTTAATTCTATCGTGACACTCTGCGCAAATCTCTAATTAACACGTGTTCTCTTTGAAACGGGTTAAAATATCTCGAGGTCAATTTCAAATTTTTCATTTTAAACACTGAACATGAAAATTGCCTACATACGCTCGGAGGAATCCCCGGAGTGTCCAGTCTGTATATATATGGAAATTGTCGCGATTACTGTGCGAATCATGTAGTTTAAATCACCTCAAGTACGCCTATCACATGTCACCGTTATTGTGCGTCACGCTAAAAATTTTTAACAATTTTCCCATCGTCATTTTAATTACACTTATTATGTACGCTTCAGTTTTTTTAAAGCTACTCGATAAACTGTACATCTCAATAATCTTTGAGAACGATTAATTCACAGCCCGAAATTTAATTGAAATGTAACAACTGGCGCATGATTATTCCGCAAAGTCGAGGGGGAAAATTAGTCAAAACTATTGAGTCCATATATTTATTACAGTAGCTAATGTCAAGCTCGATAACGTATATGATAGTACTGGGTACGTCCCCCAGACGAGATAAGAAAGGCAAAAACATAAACGGATATCGAAATGACTGATTGCTAATCTGTTTTCCTGCGCGCAATTGCAGAATAGAGAAAAATAAAGAACTAGATGAAATTAATTTTTAGAAATGATGAATGCATCTCGACCGAATAATACATAAATCAATTTTATGGCTTGTACGAATTAGAACAATATAAGAAATATATATAGAGAAGAACTATAATTTCTTTTTGTCAATGTACAGTTATTGATACACTTCCATCTTTAGCATCGAATTTCTTTCGATTTTTTTTTGTACAGGACTAATTAGAAAGATCAGATTCTTTCAGAATTTTCATAAGCATAAATTTTTCATCCTATTTAAGATTTTTTACTCAGACTCGAGTAAATGCACACGCGAGAGCCTAAAAATCTTATGCAGAGAAATTTATTCTGAAGCAGTTGAAAATGGAATTATGTAAATGAAAATAAAAATGTATTACTGCCGAAATACATACATAAATTTAATTCGAATAAATAGTGAAAGAATATTCTTTTATAAATATTGAAATGCGTCTATTTAAAACGAAGAGAAATATTTAAATACTTAAAAAAAAACTAATTCAAATGTCAATCCGAAATTGGAAACTATGCACAAAAATATTTCAACTCACCTGGCTTAAAATTGGGCTGCTAAGTTGTGACTTTATGAGCAGCGATTTAAAAACTTCTCGTTCAATATTACCACTAGTTGGAGAGCATATCTTCCCATGGAGTTCGCGATAGAAAGGTGGTATTGCGCCTGGATATAAAAAATACACGATTACTCGAATGCCAGTGTTAGTGACTTACAGGATAACAGGATATATCAAGTGAAACTAACAAATAAGAAATGCCAGATTAAAAATTCCCGCGTTGATCTACCGTTTATCAAATAATAATAAAAATTTCGGGAAGACTCCCCTGAGTCTCCCTCAACACGGGAAATAAAAATTGATATTGTAATTGCATTCAAGAAAAATATCCCAATATTTTCTAATTTATCCGATAACAGAGTTACACAGAAATTTTACAAAGAAACGCAAATCATCATAAATAATCAATTGCGATAGTAAAAATATAACAATATGGCAATCCTATTCTAAACAACAATTCCATTATCTATAATAATATAATTCCAATTATATAATAAAGAATATGCAATTGTTGTGAAAAATTCTTAACAATTCGTTTGCAGATGGAAGAAATTTAAATGAAATGTGAAATGGTGTGAAGTAAAATCATAATGTCACAACTATTTACCTGAAGAAAGATCTGTTGACGCCATATTGAATCACTATGTAAATGCACAACTGGTTGTTGCCCTTCACCAATGAAATATCTATCACCTCGATAAAGGAAAAATAATGCTGACATCAGGCGATTGATGGAGCAAGTGTTAACGATTCGTTGATATAGCTTTTAACAGTCTCCAAAGTGATTTGCAATGACAACGCGTGACGTTTCACATTGTTTAGACAGCAGGTGATGTGCTACGAATATTTGTGAATATTGAGGCCGTGTTTAATTTTTCATGATACGTCGTACGCCATTGCCGTGTGGCGTGTAACTGCGTGGATGTAACTGGGACCTGGCTGAGAAAACCGTCACGGCTGTGTGGTACCAGTTAACTATCAAGCCAATATAATTCTACCCACTCCAAACCAGTTCTCGCTCATCCGGATCCATTGACTGTCTCTTCACCTTCCTCTTCTTTTCACTTATTTCTACTTCTTTCTACTTCTTTCTACTTCTTTCTACTTCTTTCCACTCTTTCCGCTCTTTCCACTCTTTCCACTCTTTCCTTGACCTTTCCCTGTCTCTTACAATGAAGAAGGCATTCCCATTTCCATTCTCACCATCACAAAAATTAATCTTATACTTCATAATGTGTTTATGTTGTTATTTGAGAGAACATTTCACAATCTCGAATTCTGAAAAGTGCGTGAATAAATATTGGCTTTTGGATGACGCGTTTGTTTCAGCACCTTGCAGACGTTTTGCAGTCTGCGTCTTCAGGGCTGGGGGTTTCGATTCGAGGGATGCAGGAAGGGGATGATTGAAGAGAAAGTAAGCTCGTTTCGTCAAAAGAAATTTTTATTTATCGAATTGTTTTACATTACAAAATTAACAGCCGGTCTTACTCAGTTCTGATGTCTTATTCATTCCCTATTCTTTTTTTTTCTCGTTATTATTGCTTTTTTTTAATACATTTTTTCTGCCTTTTTTTTTCATTTTGAGTGAGTTGAATAGAATGCATGTATTATTTTTTGTAACTTTTTTTTTTTAATATCTTGAAATGGATGTTGATGTTGCGCCGCACCTGGAAAATACTGAGCGACATGGGCATAACATAGGTAAAAGAAAAAAAAAACATGCTCAAGTGGCGAGAAAATATCTGGACATGTCAGTGGGACGTCAAAACAATTATTACAACGAAACTAAAAAATTCAGCTGCTCTTTTACCAAGGTTTTTGTCTGACCGATTTTATTTGTTGTAAATATTGATGCGCATGTTAGTGGAAATGTGTTGCTGAAAAAATGTTATTTACTTCTGTTTTCGTTGGATTTTTTTTTTCTTTGATTATATAAAAGAACCTAAACATAAGTACATGACATAGGCTTAAACATTTATCGTGTAGTTCAATTAATTTCTAGGTTTCGATTAGACTTTCATTATTTTCATTTACAATTAAGATGATTCAACAGAATCATTGGCTGAGAATCATAGAATTTTGGCTTTTTTCCATCAAAAAAACAGAATCCTCCACTTGAATAACATTTATGATTAAAGATAAATTTATTAACAATATACATGTTGAACGTGTATTTTCGCTTCAAGTGCTATTGAAGCCACAACAAAATTATCTTGATAGTATTGATTGCAGATCCTTAAGAGCAGCAAATTAATTGAACCACAGAAAACGAATCATTCTTTTCATTTCATTTTTTTTTTCTTCTGTCTCGGTGAATCAACGTCATACAACAATTGACGGAACGTCTTTTCGTCATTATCAGATATCATTCAATACAAATAATTGTGCCCTTTTTTGTCCAATTTCTTTTTTTTCTTTTGACATTGAAGTTTTTTCTGTTTTTTCTTACTTTTGTCTTTTTTCCCCATCGTATGTGATTTTTTTTCTGTGGACATATGATAAGAATCGACGTCAATTTTTTTGGTTACGATGTGGATAATGTGCTTTTATTTATTTTTTCTCATTTTTTTAAAATGCCATCGGATGTGTGTTTATTGAACAAATGAAGAATGTAAAGTCAATGTCTGCTCTTTTCCTCGTGTTTTGGAACCAAAAGACATTCTGCACGGTTTCACATAAAATAGTGAAGAGACACTAGATAACAAATAAAATTTGTGCCCGTACACTCTCTTACACTATCATGCTATACCGAACAGAAGCTCAATTCGTATCGAGCCGATAAACTAGAGGAATTGCACGTAATTTTTGTCAAATTCAAATACAACGTTAATTGGATAAAAATTAATTGTCGTATGACTTTTTGAATCGTCACAGATAAAAAGATATAGGGGCGGAAACGAACTGGACGAGGCGTCGATGATTGTCCGGGCTATCAGTGCTAGTGCATTCAATTCATTATTTTAAATATAAATACTAAACAATTTTTTTAATAACAATAAACGTCAACTCATTATATTCCTGTCAACGGTTGAATTTTTAAAATCATCACTCAGGAAAAAATTGCGTTACAGCAAAAAATTTTGTCAATTTTTTTTTTGCGTATTTTGAAGGATTGATTTTATGTCAGGATTTTATGTGAAAAGTAATTCTTTGTGATATCCCACGCAAGTGCTGACGCGTTGCCCATTTCATTTTAATCTCCAATACCTCATCTATGATATTTAGAATGAAAAAGCCATACGACTGATGTGTCTCACTACAAAAGAAATAATTTATGTAAAAATTTTGCGGTAACTATCATGGATTCTCCTTTATGGTGATTTGAATGGTTGAATAGTTGGTAAAACCTTGGCCGAATTAAATGAGAAAATGACCAAATTATTCATGTTCTCCACGCTCAAAGTACCACATATTGACCATGTTTTTCGAGAAACCTTATTATTGAGATAAAACCATAGCCAGTGTGTAAACTTAGCGCGGAAGAAACTAGGCGCATAAAGTAAAGATGAAATAATGACATGATGCAAAGTGATTGTAATGAAGTCAAATGAAATTATTCCATTTAAGAATGAACAGTGAATTTTGATCCTACGTATTAGAACAACGCATAGAAACATTTGGTAGATTCAACTAGTTCCTGAAAAACTAAACTAGCTGGGTCTTTAAAAATTGATATTTAAAATTCAGAAAGAATAAAATGGGAGGAAAAAAATTGAAAAAAATGTCACAGTCGCGATTTATACGCATGGTTTGATGTTCGGTTGAAGAAAAGAAAAGATGACTAATGTTGTTCTGATTGGAAATAATAATGTATCGAAATAAAACATACCTTGGATTGACACCCTTCGCGATGTTCACAATGGCTCTAGAATCGTCAGTATGGTAGGTAATAACCTCGTCTGTAGCTCCTGAAAGGAGACAAATGTAATAATGAACCACTACAAACCGTCCCACCCACGTTTAAGTAATTAACAGTGAAAATTACTCGACCCGGTAATCTCCCCAAAACGATTCAGGTTTAAAGAAATCGACGAATGAAATAATTCAAATAGAAAATAAAATGTTAAATAATAACTGAAGGACATTCATCGCCCGTTTTGAGAAGGAACGATTAAAATTATATTGTATTAATAATGGAAAAATATGCCAACAACATAGTAAACATTAGCAGAAGGATGGCCATAAATTGTTTAAGGTAATGTAGTGCTATTTTAAATGATTGAGACCATTATTTTGGTTGATATCTTTAATGTCGTAAAACCGCTATCATCAGCTATAATTTTCATCGACATCGAAGAAGCACAGTTATTTTGCGAGAAAAAGAATGTAATGTGAGTAAACGAACAATACTTTTATCCCTTGGTTTTTTTTCTCGTCTTATCGTTCAAATTGGATTTATCTAAAAAAAATCATAATAGTATCACTTTATGAAAACCGTTCTAGCTTGAGTATGCTGTACTAATTAAAGAATTTCACTCGACCATTTCAGTTTCAAACATGATTGTAGATATTGTTTCATATTTATGATTCTTCCCAATTTCCGTCTAGGATTTTCACCTCATTTGGCACTCGTTACGATAGTGCAGTGTTAATAATTTGTAGGGATCATTTACGAAATATATAATTTCAGATGAAGAGAATTTCAGATGAAGATGTCCGTCAAAAGTATGGACGAGCAAGCTAGCCGTGAATTTTTATAGAAATTGAATTACCAAAGGTCAAAAAAGCCGGACTAGAATGATTTTTTATTGACTCTAGTGACATTTTTTAATAGATTAAAACTGCTTGTGATAATTGATTGAAAAAAATCTAAATGCAAGTCCAATACGATTTTTCTCTGTTTATAATAAGGATATGAGAGAAAAATTTAAGATTGAGGGTTTTTAGATATATATAAAAAATCGTAAAAAGTACAACTTCAAAAAAATGAGGCCAAAAACGCGAACGATAAGTGAGAAAGTGTCATGTATAAACAAGTGCTTGTCACCATTTGGAATAAGTTGCGCGATAAATATATATATACATATATATGTATTGATTTATTTACTTTGAATGAATCTACGTGGTTGATCACATCAAACTAATAATCGTTTGAGAAATTGTTTCTAAAAAAGGCATTAGGACTATACCTAGGTCGTCTCATTGGTCTGTAACCAAAATAAGCGCTTCCACGGCTCATTCCACGTGCTACTCCCCGGTATCCACGGGTTCCCCTAGGGCCTCTGAAAAATCAATGCCCATATCGATTTAAAATAAAATATTAATATAATTACTGAAGGCTCAGACAATATCATCTACTGCGATGAGATTTTTTCGTATTTTTGGCGATTCTTTGCTTTGAGCTCGAACGTCAATTCCATACGAATATAAAACTCCTACGATAACAACCAGAAAATGTACTATTTCTCACATGTAGTCTATAAAAATAAGAAAAATGTGTACCGATTTGTCATTGACATTCCTGGTCGATTTGTTCTCTTCGGCATGACTTTAATTTGACGTCCACGAAACATGGATTCATCCATGGCCATCGCTGTTTGCACTGAGTCACGTTCAGCGAATTCGATATAAGCAAAACCTTTTGGATGCCCATCAAATTTATTACAAAGTATCGTCACTCTGTTTACACTGCCACATCCGTGGAAGTGTTGCTCCAATTCCTCAGCTGTTGCGCCATAATCGACCTGATAAATATCGTATTCATTAAGAAAAGCCAAACAATAAGTTAGACTAAAAATTAATGCATTCTGGAGTGGTAAAAGGAGACGAATAAATTTTCTGGAACTGCATCAAGACTGAGATAAGATAAACTAATATTTCTAAGAAACTTTTTTCCTAGTTTTCTGGTGACTTCACAAGAATTTCTTCATATAGAATGAGTTTTAACGATCGGGTCTATTCAGCGAAGTTAAATAGATTGAAGGCATGCATATGAATTTTGAAAATTTATAAATTTATCTCCTTCTACCAATTTATGAATACATCGTTCATGTTTATATGATAAATTGCACTTACATTGCCAACATAAATCGACCTATTGTCTACTTCCATTTTATCCTCAATCGACATATTCAACGGACTAGCTAACGAAACAAAAACAGAAATTCATTCATAATAATCAGTTTATAGCAAGAAAAAAGTATGAGAAACTCCAGTAGATTAAACTACGCTACTTACTGATTCCTGGAGGACTCCCCATATTCATTTGCTTATCCACCTCAGACTGCAATTGTTTTAATTTTTCAGCTTCCTCTTCCATTTCTCTCACTCGTGCTTTGATAGCTTCTAGCTCCTGCAAAAATGCCCAAAAAATATAACGATTTGTATAAATATCAAGGATTAGTTGCATATCATACAACAGCTAATCGTGCCACTCACAGGATCATCTATATTCGACTCGTTGAATTCCCGTTTGACTCCGTCTGACTGCATAATGGAGTCACCATCCTGACCGTTTTCAAGTCCATCAAGACCGTCAATTTGGTCGGAAGCTAATAAATCTGACTCTGACATTTCTGCAAATAAATAAAAAGTTGTAAAATATTCATAAATGTATTAACATCTCTCTATTAAATTCTACACACAGGAGAGCATTGCAATAAAATCCATGAGTACCTACAGAACAAATATTAATCACGGAAATACCGATTAAAATACTAAACGTATGATTATAGATAAGATAATTATGCAAATCGGTGAAAACTCTGAGTATGGACAGATTATTGAATCAATAGGATAGTACTCGTGCAGTTGAGTCGACTTGTCGACTTGAGGAAATTTTTCGATCTGTCCAACATGACTGAGAAGACCGGTGAGTTGAAGTAATGATAAACATGGCTACCAAAGTTGAATATTTTCAAGTCGATAGTTATTTCCATGAGACAAGGTTATTTCATCAATGAAAATTACACCGAAAACAGACAAATAAAGAATAAATTATCAAATCAATATAATAATTAAAGAATAAAAATAATACGCACGTGTAATTATTAACGCGGTTGATTCGCACAAAACAAGAAATTGGAGTTGCTTTTTTTTGGCACGAACACGGTACACGTTGGGTGAGACTGGACTAGGGGAAATGTTAGAGGGATGGGGATTTCGACGATGCAAGGGACGCTGATCCACTCTACAAATCAAAATAAAAATCAACTAATAGAATGATGAGCGTAACACGATTAATACGAGTGTTTGCTCTATACGCACAAATTGACAAGGCACGATTTATAAATAATTCTAGTAAGGATGACAGTTGAAGATAGATTATTATAGAAGCGTATTAGGTTGCTAAACACTAATGATCGAGTGTCACAGTCTCACAGAAACGAAGGTTCTCCATTCCTCCATTGTCTGGGCTCGGCAAAATGGCTCCTGGCTCGGTTATAACCAAAGAGAATAAACTCCATGAGAGTGTCGATCAAAGAGGATTGACTAAAGTAGAGGATCAGTTCTGGGGGTTTGAGTGACCCCAGCGCCATCGTAGTACTGCACCCCAAGAGAGGGAGGGCGCCACACGCAATGGGGGTGTCTACCCATCAGCCGACTCGGTACCTGAATCAGTAGCAGTCCCGCTGTCAGGCGGATCAGTTGACGGGTGAATGTTATTTTCTGCTTTACGAAATTGGTATTCACTGAAATTTGAAAATTCGAAATTTTTTAACAAGTATCGGGGGAGCATGAAAATCGAGCAGGTATTAACTAAAATTGAAATCTTGAAATTTCAAATTTCAGTGAATACCTCCTCGATTTTCATGCTCATCTGATACTTTTTCGAAAATTTTGAATTTTCAAATTCCAGTGAATACCTCCTCAATTGTCATGCTCTCCTGATGCTTTTTCAAAAATTTCGAATTTTCAAATTTCAGTGAATATCTCCTCAATTTTCATGTTCCCCTGATACATTTTCAAAAATTTTGAATTTCCACATTACAGTGAATACCTCCTCCATTTTCATGCTCCCCTGATACTTTTCCGAAAATTTCGAATTTTCAAATTTCCGTGAATACCTTCTCGATTTTCATGTTCCCCTGATACATTTTCAAAAATTTCGAATTTTCAAATTTCCGTGGATACCTCCTCAATTGTCATGCTCTCCTGATACTTTTTCACAAATTTCGAATTTTCAAATTTCAGTGAATATCCCCTCAATTGTAATGCTCGCGTGATACTTTTTCAAAAATTTCGAATTTTCCAATTTCAATGAATGCCGCCTCCATTTTCATGATCCGCTGATACTTTTTTAAAATTTCGATTTCAGTGAAGACCTCCATTTTCATGGTCCCCTGATACTCTTTTGAAAATTTCGAATTTTTCGATTCCAGTGAATACCTCCTCAAATGTCATGCTCTCTTGATACTTTTTCAAAAATTTCGAATTATCAAATTTCAATGAATACCTCCTCCATTTTCATGCTCCCCTGATACTTTCCAAAAATTTTGAATTTTTCGATTTCAGTGAATACCTCCTCCATTTTCATGCTCCCCTGATACTTTTTTTGAACAGTTCGAATTTTCAAATTTCAGTGAATACCAATTTCGTAAC